GATAGGGACAATGGTATCACTATGAAGCTATTCAACATATTTTAGGTGTCTCTGCACATGCATGTTCAGAAAGAGATGTACTGTATGATGTGAGACCATAACACTACAGACAGAATAAAAAACACAACTTCAGATTGCCTGCTTATAGTGCTGGGATTTAGTTAACAAACTGCAACTAAATCCCTCTTCTGGAAGCCAAATTAAGTTTACTAGCCTGAAAGAACACTGTAAGAGCAATAATCAAATTGGATCAACTTCATCGCTCAACAGTACATGTCTCATTAGTGTTCTACAAGCTTGCAGGAAAAAATTTCAAACGTCTCAAATAAAGGTTTTTTTTTTTTTTTTTTAAGTCTTAGCTCAGAATGGAAAAACTATCCCGGCACTATTTCACAGCTCCGATAATTGTACCACTGACTAACCTCCAACTGGGAATAATTGTTTTTATCATCACTATTAAAAACACTCCCTCCTAACTCACACTGATAGGAATCTGGAAACTCATTGTGGCTGCATCCCACCCTGCAGCCTCTCAAAACAGGACAGAGAAATGAAACTACGTGCAGGAGCAAGAGGAATCCCTGTGCTGAAAACACAGTTCGTGTAATTCCTGGGGAGTAGAACCACGTCCTCAGTAGACAGGCGAATGCATAAAGGCAATAGCAAATCATTTGTGTTTAATGAGGAGGGGGATTTAGCGCAGTGGGGGGCAAGCTGTGCCCTGCTGGAGTTCCAGCTGGGGCATGTGGACCCTGTCTGTCCCCCTCTCCCATGCACCTTTCGCACTGAGGTACTGGAGATCCACACTTCCTACTTCCCCCACCTCTCTCCCAAAACTACCGGAGTGCCATGAATCTGCCGATTCACACTCTGTGCCTGCTACTCCCCCTCCCTCCAAGAGCTGGAACACCATGAATCAGCTGTTTGCGGCGGTTCAAGCGCTAGGAGGGTGGTGGAGGAGCAGGGACGGAGCACACATCAGCAAATTCATGGTGCAATGCTCTGAAAGTGCTGGAAGGGAAGGGGAGGAGTAGGCAGTGCGGGGCTCCAGTGCGCGAGAGACATGGGCAAAGAGAGGTGCGCCAGCCGCAGGTGGAACCCCAGCAGGCTGCAGGTTGCTCTCCACTAGCAATCATGCAGCCCAATAAGACAGTCTCATGCACCAGAACCAAGAAGTGAAATTGACAGTTCCAAGTGATGAAAAAATTAAACTCCAAACAGTGAACTGGCTTTTACAGAAAGTTCTCAGTTTTAATCATTCAGGCACAGCTACCAGATGCCACAGAGAAATTATATAGCACAGGGACAGGATAAGAACCCACCAACATTTACTTCATACATTCATTAGGGATTCCTAGATTATTAAGAATGACCACACACACGCGTCTTTTTTTTTTTTAAATGTGAGTTTCAACAACTTGAAAACCCATGGCCTTTATTCCCAAGGCTCGAGATGTGGATCAGTGATCTACTGTTACACACTGTAAACCTATCACACTTCCATCTGATGAGGCCTTTATTCAATAAACGAGGAGTAACGGTAGTTCAGAATAGGAAGCCTAATCCGAACTACCTAGTCAGTGCCGCGTGTAACCGCGGGGCACGGAGTCCGCACTAGCGGACATTTAAAAATGGCGGCGCCCGGCAAGATACAAATGAAGCCCGGGAAATTCAAATCCCGGGCTTCATTTGCAACTCCGGTTGCCTACATTACCACCCTAGTTCGAACTAGGGTGGTAGTGTAGACATACCCGAAGGGACCTTGAGAGGTCATCAAGTCCAGTCCCCTGCCCTCACGGCAGGACCAAGCACCGTCTAGAATGGATCATCCCTGAGAGATGTTTATCTAACCTGCTGTTAAATATCTCCAATGATGGAGATTCCACAACCACCCTAGGCAATTTATTCCAGCGTTAACCTGAGGGCATGTTTACACTAGGAGATCGTAGTGTAGACCCCGAATTCAAACACTTAGGGCAGACCCCGCCAGCGTCTGGTACTCCTCGATCTGTGAGAATTAAGGGAAGCCGACAACAGCATGTGCTCCTGTCAGCTTCCCACAGTGTAGAACAGTGGTCCCCAACCATTTGAAGCTGCCGGGCGCCAGGGGGCGTGGCTGTTTGCCTGCCGGGCACCCGGGGGCGGGGCCGCGCATACGCCACACCCCCATGAGCCACGTGCCTGGGGCCAGCAACCCTATGCGGCGCGTGACCACGGACGGGGCCGCCCATTTGCAGCAAGCCTGGGGCCAGCACCCCCCCATAGCCGAGCGCCCAAAGCCGGAATCTCCCCCCACTCCCCGATAGCTGCGTACCCAGGGGCAGGGATGCCAATTTGCCGCGCTCCCGGGGCCGGCACTCCCCATAGCCGGGCGCCTGGGGGCCGGGGCAGCGACTTCGCTGCACTCCCAGGGCCGGCGCCCCCCATAGCCGCGCACCCAGGTACAGGCGGCCAATTGGCCACGCTCCCGGGGCCGGTGCTCCCCATAGCCGTGCGCCCAAAGCCAGCACCCCCATCCCCCATATCTGCGTACCCAGGGCAGGGATGCCAATTTGCCGCATTCCCGGGGCCGGCACTCCCCATAGCCGCGCGCCCAAGGGCCAGCGCCCCCCATAGCCGTGCTCCCAGGGCGCAGGCAGCCAATTTGCCGTGCTCCCGGGGCTGGCGCTCCCCGTGCACCATGCGCCTGGGGCCGGCTCCGGCACCGTACATGCACCACACGCCCGGGACGGGGCCAGTCCTGAGCACTTGGCAGGTGCACACAAATGCCCCCGCGGGTGCCATGGCGCCTGCGGGCACTGTGTTGGGGACCACTGGTGTAGAAGCTTCAGGTAAGCTGAATCCAGCTACCCATTTTGGCATACATTAAGCCAACCTGACTGGTCTAATGTAGACCTTGGCTGAGAGTTAGGAAGTTTTTCCTAATATCCAACTTATAACCACCCTCGCTGCAATTTAAGCCCACTACTTCTTGTCCAACATCAGAGGTCAAGGCGAACAATTTTTCCTCCCTCCTCCTTGTAACACCCTTTTAGGTACTTGAAAACGGCTATCATGTCCCCTCTCAATTTTCTCTTTTCCAGACTAAACAAACCCAGTTCTTTCAGTCTTCCCTCATCAGTCATGTTTTCTAGACCTTTAATCATTTTTGTTGCTCTGCTCTGTACCCTCTGCAATTTCTCCACATCTCCCAATTTTAACTCCCCATTGGGACCTCCTGGCTTCAGTCCTGGCTCATGCCAGGTCCGGGACCAAACCCCACTGTGGCTCTGCAATTTAAAACACAGCGGGAGCTGGGGGGGCAGGCTGCCTGGCTCCTACTGCCTTTTAAATTCCAGAGCTGCCGTGGGGTGCGGCCCCGGCACGAGCCAGGACTGAGCCGGTTGCCTTCTCCTATTGACTAATAGAGTAGTCGATAAAAATTCTATCGACTACTAAATTAGTAAAATAACTTCATTTTAACCATCTTAGCTCAGAATGGAATGACACTCCAGGTTGGACCTCCCTGGTCTGGCACCCTCAGGACCTGACTGGACGAGGGAGTTTGCCAAACTGGGGAGGTCAATTCCTTACACTCTGCCTGGCTCCACTCCTGGCCAGGCTCTGCTTCCGAAGATCCTCTGCTAGCTCCTGGCCATTGGCCTCACTGCCACTGGCCACGGTCAGACTCCTAGCTGCCAGCAGGGCTCTCAGCCACAAGACCTCCTGCTGTCCAACTCCTGACCACCAGGGCTCTCTGGCACAGGAACATCCATGGTTTATTGCCTGGCCAGAGCGTCCTGGTTTTTAGGGGGTCAACCCGCACTGTACTCTAAACTAGTCAAGCCTCACACCAGCTTTTTCCCCCCCAAGGAGGTATGCAGGCTACTCAGTGAACATGCTTTGTTTAAATTAGCAAGTCCATTGCACCGCTTCATTGTGCGCACAAGAGCTTTTAGGTCTCCCATCCTCCAATGTGAGGAGCTGACCAGTTCACATTCAGGAGAAAATGACTCCGAGCAGTGGCTCTCAAGCAGGGGTTCACCTAATCCTGGGGGTACACAGAGGTACCCCAGGGCCTTCATTTAGATATTTGTCTAGATTGACAACAAGCCGCAGAAAAACCACTAGCGAAGGCAGTAGACACTAAAATTTCACACGACTTGCTGTGTAGAAATGTTCACGGAAATGCAAGTACCATATTTATATGCCAGTTGACTTACTTTATAGCGACGTGGTAAAAATGAGAAAGTAAACAATTGCTCAGTAACAGCGTGCTGTGACATTTTTGTACTTTTGTGTCTGATTTTGCAAACAAGGAAGTTTTTAAATGAGGTGAAACTTCGGGATATGCACGACAAATCAGATTCCTGAAAGGGGTACAGTAATCTTCAAAGGATGAAAGTCACTAACTTAGAGCCCAGCAGTGAACTATGCAAATACTTTAATCCCCTTTCCTCTGTTAATGAAACTAAATCCTAGATCACTGTGAAAAGCTCTCACAAAAAGGCAAGAGGGGAAAGAATTTGCTGGATGTAAAGGGTGGGAAAAGCACCATTATCTATCTTGCACCAGCACTGCACCCTTTTATTTGTAGTTATTACTGCAAGCTGCTTTTTTTCAGACAATGGATGTGTTATTGTAGGCACCTTTATGCCGTGCCAAAGCACATATACACAGCAAATCAGAACAATCAGCCTTGCTTTCATGGGAGCAAAGGTTGCAGCCAAATGAAATGGGTGGAGACCATATTAAACAATCTTGGAATCTGCTAATAGGATATAGGAAAATGTGACTCTAATGCAGATGCAGCGTTCCCTTTCACCTTCAAACATTATGTTCGGGTGAAATAAAGGCTTCTGAAAGCAAATGTGATTACTTGAATGTATTAACGCAGTAAACATTTTCTCACTATGTACACGAGATACAAGCATTCCTAAAACGGCACACTAAAAGGTCTCACGCTGAAGAGTACATTTCCCATTGAAGAAGGAACACTCATTTTAAAAGATACTGGATACCTGTGAAATGTCAGCATAGCGATTCTAAGAACATCCATCCATCCAGGCAGAACATTCCCATCTCTAAGACGTGACCAGATTCAGAGTTGCCTTTTAAATAGTGGGATTTTCAAACAGAAGCACTTTGCTTTCCCTTGCTTGCTTTTCAGGTGTCTGTCCGTCAGCTTTCTCCTTCACAACCCAGGTTCTGCCTCTGCATGATCATGCACTGAAGTCATGTCCTTGAATCAGTGACATCAGTTTGTTGCCACGGTAACGATGAAGGCTGTCCAAAATTCAGTATTATGGCATCACTGCAGGATCAAGCAGCAGAGAAAGCTAATAGAAAGTTAACAAGTGTGGCAGGAACAATTATTAAAAGGCCTTTAGTTTAAATTTGAACAATATGTTTACCCCGAGAAAGCTGCATTCTGAAAAGTATTTTTTAAAAGCCTCCTCCAGGAGCTCATTGATCTGGGAATACCATCAAGGCTGACAGCAAGTACCAGCCCAAGATGTGGTCTTACTGTGATAACTATAGGGGACGACGCAGAGTAGAGGAAAAACGTGTCTGTTAGGGCAGCCAGAGTGATATGTGGTGACTCAGAAGAGCATATATAGCTTGAGGTAGATGACACCACATAGGCTATTTGTGTTCTCACACAAACCCAGACCAATCCTGAAGCTGGAATTTATCTACGAGGGACGTCTCGCTTCGCCTGCTGGTCTGTCATTGCGGAATGACACTTTTTTTTGGCCTCAGAGTTCTAGGGGGTCATGAGATAAGGTCACTGTTGTGGAAAAGGTGATGTTCCATATGGCAAGCCCCTCCAAAAATCACAGGGGGTCTTGAGCCGGATGCCGTGGGTTTACACAGAGGGGAGGAAATCACAGAGCAATGATCTATGCACCGGTAAACAATTCCCATAACAAGCTGTGCAATAAGTTAAAAAGTACCTTAGAGTTGTCACTCCATGCAGACTTAGACATCACAGTTCTCTAGGGTTTCTTGCATACTCCTGAGAATGACATTTCTGAAGAGCAAAAGAAAGAGGGAGGTTAGAACCACAGATAATGAACATGCAACGAACACTCTCAAAAACATCAACAAAAGACCAGCGTAATGCACAGCGAAGACAACACTGACCAGGGTTCAGTTGTGAAGGGACCTCATAACTGACAGCCAAGATCACCTCAAAGGAGAGGAAAGAGTTGTGACTTTACCAAAATGCTATTTACACCTACCAGCAAGACACAGTGGCAACTCTGAAAGTGGAGGCGGTGCGCCCTATCTGACTGAAAACAGCTATTCTCTTTAACATGTGTCAAAGATACCCACAAAAGGCACAATGGGAGGGATTCTCCCCTCTGCTACAATCCACATTAACTGCTCGTAAGAGCTTCACAGCCAGCCAGAGGGGAATGTCCCCCGCACAGATAGTGCATAAGCCAGTCACATGCTGGCAAGCCCCTTGCAAGTGCCAGCACAGGGGGTAGGGCACCGCCATGAACCCACTACTGCAGCCACTCTGGGCAGCACAGACAGCGGTGTAACTTAAAACAGCTCCCTCCCTTATACCACAGGCAGGTTTTAGTCGGTAGTATTCTAGGCTGACTGAAGGCGCAAAAGGGGTTTAAAAACCGTATCTGCTTTTCCCTCCGTTGGGGCAGCACTAACATGCTGCATCTCCAGGAGTAGCACAACGTCTCACTCCCTTAATGCACCAAGGGCTGCTACGCTCATGGCTGCTTATTACTCATGGACAACGTTATGCCTTTGCTGCAACGTTATGGCTGCCCAAACACCTTGCTCAAGAGAGCTAAGGAACCACGGTGAAGGGGTGACTTACCCCACCACCGGGGCAAGTTCCGTTGCTCAGCCTTTGTGTCATCATTGCTTCTCAAACAAGCATTGAGGCTACAAAGAATGCACAAGGCATGGGCATCTAGAGACATCCATGAGGTCAGCCTGTGGAGGGAATGAACCTCTCTGGGGAAGACTGCAGAGCTACCATTTTTAGAGATGCCCATCATTTTCCTGGCCTGTTCTTCTGCGGGCATCAAACATGCGCCCCTCTTGGGGCCACACACTGGCTTCCAATCTCTTCTCTACCACAATCAGACTCTTGATCCTCACAGCAAAGCCCCTATGCAGGGCTGCTCCTGCCTGCATAGCATCAATGGTCACCTCGCCTCAACCCCCTGCTTATATCTTGCACCCTGGAAGTTTCAGCTCATGTTTTTTGGCTCTCCTGCTTTCATCTCATGAACAACTCCACACCCATCACTTACTGCCCCTGCTTTGGAACATCCTGCAACCCTGGGAGCACATCAGTGCCAACTGGCAGAGGGCACAGGATACCTCACACCTGACACATTCATTGCCCCAAACCACAGTTGTCCTAATCTGTGTCTAAGCGATATTTGCAAAGTGTCATAAGCAAATCGGTAACAGGAGGGTCTCACAATTCATCATGTGATGTATGCACGGGGTGTGCTCAAAAACCGACCTGTGTCCTGGAAACATGTTCTTAAATGCATTTGGCAGGCAGGGCATAAAAGCCCAGCATACTCCAGACAAAGGAAGGTGTATTTACCTATCTCAGCAGAGACCAGCAAAAAGCACACTGACGTATCAGATGAACAAAGCCATGAACCTAGGAAGCAGGGGAGATGACCTCTTAACAATCAAGGTGCCCTCTTCCATGTTTGGGCAGGGGACTGGACTTGATGACCTCTTGAGGTCCCTTTCAGCTCTTGTGTTCTATGAATCACTATGAGGGATGGAGACTGCACCCCGGGAAGCCTTCCTGGCTCTGGAAACAGACACAGTGAGCGCTGAGGTCGTATAACGAAGGCAAAGAGACTTTCGAGTTATCCATCCCCCAATGGTTGAAGGGGAGCAGCAGCCTTTGAGTTCATAAAAAGTGAATCCTCTACACGTGGGAGGCAACCGTACCTGGGATGATTTCGTATCAAGCAGGAGAGCAAGTCCTCAAGTAACCTAAGAGCGGGGCTGGGCAACAATTTTTGATGGGGGAGCCACTCCAAGAATTTGGTAAGTGGTCAAGGGCCGTACTTTTCTATGGAGGGGATGTGGGGTCTGGGAGGGAGACTGGGTGCAGAAGGGAGCTCAGGTAAAGGATTGGAGTGCCAGGAGTGGGTGTGGGAGGGAATTTGGGTGAAAGAGAGGGTTGTGACCTGTGGTAGGGAATTGGGGTGGAGGAGGGGGTACAGGGTCCGAGAGGGGGTTGAGTGGCTGAGAAGATTTTCACCTGGGGCAGGGGTGCAGAGGGGGTTCAGAAGGTTTGGGGTGTAACCTGGGGCAGGGAGCTGGGATGTGAGGAGGGGATGGGGTACCAGGGACAGGTTCTGACTGGGAGGCACTTACTCTAAGTGGTTTTGGCCAGCAGCTCAGCAGGATCCTTCGGGCAGGCTCCCTGCCTGCTGCACCCCACATGCCTCTCAAAGTGGCTGGCTGCTGGGGCCAGCCTGTGTGTGCATGTGCCACCAATGGGAGCTGTGAGGATTGTGTTGTGGACGCCGCCCCCCCGCCATGGGGCCCACAGCACAAAGACTCACAGGCTTTGAGCGGCGTGCGGGACATGGCAGGTCCTGCCCCGCTGGCTCCCGCTGGGCTGCAGAACACTGGCGGCCCAGAGGATCGTGGTGAATGGATCTGAAGCTTTGGCGGGCTGTGTCCGGCCCACAGGCTGCATTTTGCCCCTCCCTGCCTAAGGGAGCACACTGGAAGCAGAGAACGTAACTTCCGAGGGTGCTCAGCGTGAGGGACTGGACAGTGCAGAAATATCTCTGGGGAAGTTAGGAACTGGGATTTATTGGTTAGCAACTGCAGGTCATGGGTGGACCTGATAGAGTGCTGGAGAGCTTGATGGCAAGGCCAACAGGCTGGTGTGTCAGAGAGCTGATACACATCTTAGCAGCAGCAAAGCTCTCAGATGAAGAAAGGGGAAACAGCGTGGCTCGCAGTTCCGGATGCCACAGGAGAAGCCCCACTATCTTCCCTGACTCACTCTCAGCCTTTCCTCTCCCAACACTGACCTCCTCTTTACTCTACTCCCGGACCTGCCTCCGGTTTTTAAAAGAGGAACCAACAAGGAGCATGCACACACGTCACCTCATAATCTCACCTATTTGCCTTTGCCCTCTGCAAACCCCTTCACCCACTTCTTGTTTATCAGCATCCTTCCATTCTGTGTTATTACTTCAGAATGTAAACCTCAGGGCGGGGACCTTTTATTTATTGCTACACCGACCTAGGGTGCTGTATAAAATGAATTCCACAGCCTGCTCAAGCCTAAAGCATCTGAGCTTGGTTCAGCTCTGGGTTACACCAGCTTCTGAATAACTGGACAGTTCAAGTGCCACTATTAACTAATTCACCACCAAGCGCTTTAGTGGAAACACCTGTTTTGGGCAATTTCCAGCGTCACTGAAACTAGTTGCCAATATTAGGACAGTGAATTGTCGTGGAGGAGTGCTTGGGAAGGAAACAAAAAATCCAGATCTCTCCACCTCTAAACGTAACATCACCTCCACCCATGCCCAAAAGGGTGAAAGAAGAAATGCAACCTCCCTCGCATAAAGCCTCATTTGTCTCCTGATTTCCAAACCCAAACATACCTTCCGTGCTTTCCTGGTGCCAAGAAAACCAACTGCCCAGGCCTTCAGCCTTTTCCCGCCCCTTCTGACAGCTCTTACAACAGTCATCTGTTTTCCAGCACAGGAATCTGTAGCCCAGAGTAACTCTGGGACAGCATTACATCAACTGTATTTAATATCAAAATGAATCCAAGGCCCTGTTGCATAACTGGAGCCTCTGCAGCATAATGCAGGCTGCAGGAGCCCTACAAGACACACAGAACACTAGAACTGGAAGGGACCTCAAGTCTAGTCCCCTGCCGATTTCCTTTCACTTCAAGAGTCAACTCCAACTTTAAACTATAAGGAAACCTGATGGCAATGCATAACTGTGCTCCTATCACTCCAACTCTAGCTTGTCTTCATACCCTACACCAGTGGTCCCCAACCATTTAAGGTTGCCGGGCGCCAGAGGGCATGGCCGTTTGTCCGCTGGGTGCCAGAGGACGGGGCCCCCCCCATAGCTGCGTGCCCGGGGCCGCGGGACCCCCCCATAGCCGCGCACCCAGGGCCGGTGCCACCTCCAAGGGCTGCGCGCCCGGGGCCGGTGCCGCCCTCCCAAGCGCCGCGTGCCCCCCCCTCCAAGCATCGCACACCCAGGCCAGGCGCCCCCCCCCAAGCGCCGCGCACCCGGGGCCGGCGCTTCCTCCATGCGCCTCGTGCCCAGAGAGTGGGCGGTCAATCCGCGACGCTCCCAGGGCCGGTGCTCACCGTGCGCCACGTGCCCGGGGCCAGGCCAGTCCCGAGCACTTGGCGGGCGCACACAAATGCCCCCGCGGGTGCCATGGCGCCCGCGGGCACCGTGTTGGGGACCACTGCCCTACACCTTGGCTGAGCAGAGATCAGAGACAACAGCACCCTCCACTGAGTCGGAGGCAGGCTCCCGGTTGCCAAGAGACTCTGACAGGCAGTTTATATGCAGTGAAAAATGTAGTTCCAAGCTGATGGAATACAGCTCTGAGGCTGCTCTAAGTTATGCTGGGGACCAAACTGGGAAACCAAGAGCAATATACGCTACGTTGACTATAGTAATGTGAAAGTCCTACCTATAACATTCCTATTTGAGTGCATGTCAGTCAGAAAAACATACGGCTGCAAAATTTTCAAGTTACGTAAAGTCAAGCTGCTCTCCTGTGTAGGACAGTGTCTGAGAAAGTCAACATCAATAGCACAGCAAAAAGTATTATCCTGATGTGTTTGGAGAATTAGTGCCTATTCAGGCATGTGTAGGAACCAGACATCTTTTAGTGCTGCTTTGAAGGAACTAGAACTGGCGCATGGGCCAGTATGTACCAGTTCCAAAGTAGTAATTTATCAGGAGTTCACAGAGTGATGTAAGTCTGTGAACTGAACCACCTGCCCAAATGCACTT